ATTCTTCCAACCCCTGAACACAGAATGTCTTTCCATTTCTTTGTGTCTTCTTCAATTTCTTTTAGAAATCTCTTATAGTTTTCAGTATATATGTGTTTCACATCCTTGGTTAAGTTTATTCCTAGATATTTTATTCTTTTTGTTGCAATTGCAAAAGGAATTGTTTTTTTATTATTTATTTTTCTGAGACTTGATTGTTAGTATATAAGAATGCAATGGACTTTTGTACATTGATTTTGTAGCCAGAAAATTAACTGTATTCATTTATTGTTTCTAAGAGCTTTGTTGTGGAGTCTTAGGGTTTTCTATACATAGCATCATGCCACCTGCAAAAAGTGACAATTTAACTTCTCCATTCCCTATTTGGATGCCTTTTATTTCTTTTTCTTGCCTGATTGCTCTGGCTTGGACTTCCAATACTATGTTGAAAAGCAGAGGTGATAGGGAACAGTCCTGTTGTGTTTCTGAATGTAGAGCAAAAGTTTCATTTTTCACCATTAATTATGATATTAGCTGGGGGTCTGTTTTTCAGTTAATTATGATTTTAACTGGGGGTTTGTCATATATGGCCTTTATTATGTTAAGCTATTTCCTTCTATACACATTATATTAAGTGTTTTAATCATAAATGGATGTCGTATCTTGTCAAAAGCTTTTTCTGCCTCTATTGACATAATCATAAGATTTTTGTTTTTTATTTTGTTAATGTAGTGTATCACATTGACCAATTTGCATATGTTGAACCATCCTTGTGCCCCTGGTGTGAACCCAACTTTGTTGTGATGTATAATCTTTTTAATGCATTGTTGCATTCAATTTGCTAGAATTTTGTTTAGGATTTTTGCATCTGTATTTATCAGAGATATTGGTCTGTAATTTTCTTTTTTGTGTGTTATCCTTACCAGGTTTTGGTATCAGGGTAATGTTGGCCTCATAAAATGAGTTAGGACATATTGCCTTTTATTCTGGTTTTTTTTGGAAGAGTTTGAGGAGGACAGGTGTTAGATCCTTTTTGAATGTTTGGTAGAATTTACTAGTGAAGCCATTTGGTTTTGGATTTTTGCTTTTGGGAAGGTTTCAGATGAGTGACTCAATTCGCTTACTGTTGATCTGTCTAGTAGGTTTTCCAAGTTTTCATGATTCAGCCTAGAAAGGTTATATGTTTCTAAGAACAAGTCCATTTCTTCTATGTTATTGAATTTGGCGGCATATAGCCCTGCGTAGTGTTCTTGGATAATTCTTTGTATTTCTGTGGCATCCGTGGTAAATTCCCCTCTTTTATTTCTGATTTTGTTTATTGGTGTCTTTTCTCTTTTTATCTTAGTGAGTCAAGCTAAGGTTTTCTCAATGTTATTAACCTTGTCAAAGAACCAGCTCTTCGTTGCATTAGTTTTTCTATTGCCTTTTGTTCTCTATTACATTTAGTTCTGTTCTGAGTTTAATTATTTAATTCCTTCTGCTGATTTGGGTTTCATTTGTTCTTATTTTTCTGGTTCCTTAAGGTGTAACATGAGATTATTTATCTGGGATTTTTCTTGTTTCTTGAGATTCTCCTGTAATTATATAAATTTCCCTCTTAAAACTGCTTTTGCTGCACCTCAAATGTTTGGTAGAATGTATGTTCATTCTCATTTGTTTCTATGTATCTTTATTAAATTATTTTTTATTGTGAAATACACATTTTTTAGAATTAGTTTCAGCTGTACAACACAGTGCAATAGTTACACTTTTTACCCCTAGAGGTGACAACCCCCCTCCCCCAATCCACCACCCCACTTCCCCCCCAATATCATACATATCTATTACAATTCCCTTGACTCCACTCCCACATTATACTCCAGGTCCCATGACTGTATATATATAGTTATATATAGTTATATAGTTATATAGTTATATAGTTATATAGTTATATATACACTTATAGTTAACATACAATATTATACAACATCAGCTTCAAGTGTACAGTGCAGTGATCAAGCCTCTGCCCCATCCATGATGCAGTCTCCCTAACTAGACATGTGACCATCTGACACCCTACAAATTATTTACAACATTATTAATTATATTCCTCGAACTGTCTTTCATGTCCCTGTGGCAATATTATAGTTATGTATTTATGCTGTCTAATCCCTTCCGTTTCTCCGTCATCCCCACCCCCTCCCAACTAACAGCCATCAGTTATTCCTCTATATCTCTGAGTGGAGTAATACTCCATTGTATAAAGTAACACAGTTTCTTAATCCAATCATCTACCGATGGGCATTTCAGTTGTTTCCAAGTCTTGGCTATTGTGAATAGCGCTGCAATAAACATAGGGGTACATATATTTTTTTGAATTAGCATCTTGGGTTTCTCTGGATAGATACCCAAAAGTGGAATTGCTGGGTCATATGGTAATTCCATTCTTAATTTTTTGAGGAAACTCCACGCTGTCTTCTATAGTGGCTGCACCAATCTGCATTCCCACCAACAGTGTATGAGGGTTCCTTTTTCTCCACAGCCTCTCCAGTACTTGTTATTATTTGTCTTGTTGATGATAGCCATTCCAACATGTGTGAGGTGATATCTCACTGTGGTTTTTATTTTCATTTATCTGATAATTAGTGATGTTGAGCATCTTTTCATATGTCTATAGGCCAACTGTATGTCTTCTTTGAAGGAATGTCTATTTAGGTCTTCTACCCATTTTTAAAATGGATCAAAGACCTAAACATAAGACCTGAAACAATTAAGTACATAGAAGAAAACATAGGTTTTAAACTTATGAACCTTGGATTCAAAGAGAACTTTATGAATTTGACCTCAATGGCAATGGGAGTAAAAGCTAAAATAAATGTATGGGACTATATCAAACTAAAAAGCTTCTGAACAGCAAAAGAAACCATCAACAAAATAAAAATACACCCAACCGAATGGGAGAAGAGTTTTGCAAACAACGCCTCCAATAAAGGGCTAATATAAAAAATATATAAGGAACCAATACAACTCAACAACAACAAAACAAACAGTCAAATTAAAAAATGGGTAGTGGACATGAAGAGACAGTTTATTTTTGTATAGTATAATATATCCATTAACAAAATATGAAGCTTTATTTTTACCACATTTCTCATTTAACCTTTACACTAGAGTTAAAAGTGATTTATACACCATCATTACAGTATTAGAGTATTATGAACTTGTGCATATATTTGCCTTTACCAGTAAATTTTATAATTTCATATGTTTTCTTTTTTAAGATTTTTATTAAAATATAGCTAACATACAATATTATATAAGTTTCAGGTGTACGCCATAGTTATTCAACATTTATATACCTAAGGAGGTGATCACCATAAGTCCAGCAACCATCTGCAACTGTACCACACTGTCACAAAATTATTTACTATATTTGCTATGCTGTATATGACATTCCAAATATTTATTTGTTTTATACCTGAAAATTTCAATCTCTTATTTCCCTATACCTTTTCCCCCAATTTTGAATTTTTCAAATGCATTTGATTTTCAATATTATTTTATATTAATTTCAGGAATATAGCATAGTGGTTAGACACTTATATAATTTAAGAAGTGTTCCCCCTGACTAGTCTAGTGCCTATCTGGTATTATGCATAGTTATTACCATATTATAGAATATATTCCCAATGCTTTACTTTACATCCCCATGTATACTATGTAACAACAAATTTGTTCTACTAAACACCTTCCAAGTTTCTACTCACTCTTGTCCTTTAGATTCCATATATAAGAGAAATCACATTGCATCTATCTTTGTCTGATATACTCCACTCAGCATAATACCCTACAGGTCTATATATGTTGTTGCAGATGGCAAGATTTCATTATTTTTTAAGGCTGAGTAATATTCCATTCTATATATGTCTCAACTCTTCTTTATCCACTCATCCATTCAGGGAGACCCAAGTTGCCTTCATATCTTGGCTATTGTAAATAATGCTGCAATGAATACATGAATGCAAATGATCACTGAAAGTAGTGTTTTGGATTTCTTTGGCTACATATCCAGAAGTGGGATTACTGGGTCCTTTTTTGTTTCTTGTTACAGCCTCTGTTTTAAAGTCTATTTTGTGTGGTATAAGTATTGCTATCCCAGCTTTTTAATTTTTTAATTTTTGTTTTAATGAAATATCTTTCTCCATCCCATTACTTTCTCTCTGTGTGTCTTTTGATGCAAAGTGAGTCTCTCGTAGACTGCATATGCATTGGTCTTCTTTTCTTATCCATTCAGCCACCCTGTGTCTTTTGATGAGAACATTTAATCCATTTATATTTAATGTAATTGTTGATAATGTAATTGTAGCTATTGCATATATACAGTCTTTTTTTTCTTTTAATTTTTATTATGCAATACACATTTTTTAGAATTAGTTTCAGCTGTACAACACAGTGCAATAGTTATACTTTTACCCCTAGAGGTGACAACCCCCCTCCCCCAATCTGCCACCCCACTTCACCCCAATATCATACATATCTATTACAATTCCCTTAACTCCACTCCCACACTATACTCCACGTCCCATGACTATCCGGCCGAGTGGCGCAATGGTTAAGAACTGGCTTGGGATGCCAGAGGGCCCCGGTTCGGATCCCACATATGAGGGCCAGTGACACTGCCCTCCACAGCTAAGATGCTGAACAACAGCTCAACCTGGAGCTAGGCTGCCATGTGTCGCTGACGACGGCATAGGCTGCAGTCCCTGTGGCAGTGGGTTGCCATGGGCTATCGTGTGTAGCCAGCAGCCAGCGTGAGCAGCCAGCAGCTGCAGTGAGCGGCCGTCCAGAAGCCAGAGACTGGTCTGCCTTGCCTGGGAAGAGCGCAATGATGGTGCCAACTTGGGTCAGTGAAGCAACGTCCTCCACAACTAGATTGAAGAACAGAATGACAGCAACTTGTCTGTTCCCCTTCCCCCAATTCCCCAGCACTGTTCCCATCTCCCCCAATTCCCCAATAAAAAAATCTTTAAAAAAAAAAAAAGATTGCGCTCGAGCTCTGCACCTTTACCCTGGCGGTTGCCCTGGGTGCTGTCCTGCTCCTGCCCTTCTCCATCATCAGCAATGAGGTGCTACTCTCACTGCCTTGGAACTACTACATCCAGTGGCTCAACGGCTCCCTCATCCATGGCCTCTGGAACCTCGTTTTTCTCTTCTCCAACCTGTCCCTTATCTTCCTCATGCCCTTTGCGTACTTCTTCACTGAGTCTGAGGGCTTTGCTGGCTCCAGAAAGGGTGTCCTGGGCCGGGTCTATGAGACGGTGGTAATGTTGATGCTCCTCACTCTGCTGGTGCTGGGTATGGTATGGGTGGCATCAGCCATTGTGGACAACAAGGCCAGCAGGGAGTCACTCTATGACTTCTGGGAGTACTACCTTCCCTACCTCTACTCTTACATCTCCTTCCTTGGGGTCCTGCTGCTCCTGGTGTGTACTCCGCTAGGTCTCACCCGCATGTTCTTGGCCACTGGGAAGCTGCTGGTCAAGCCCTGGCTGCTGGAAGACCTGGAGGAGCAACTGTACTGCTCAGTCTTTGAGGAAGCAGCTTTGACCCACAGGATTTGTAATCCCACCTCTTGCTGGCTGCCTTTGGACATGGAGCTGCTGCACAGACAGGTCCTGACTCTGCAGACACAGAGAGTTCTGCTGGAGAAGTGGCGGAAGGCTTCAGCCTGGCAGCAGAACCTGGGCTACCCGCTGGCCATGCTGTGTTTGCTGGTACTGACGGGCCTAGCTGTGCTCATTGTGGCCATCCACATCCTGGAGCTGCTCATCGATGAGGCTGCCATGCCCTGGGGCATGCAGGGTGCCTCCCTGGGCCAGGTCTCCTTCTCCAAGCTGGGCTCCTTTGGTGCCGTCATTCAAGTTGTACTCATCTTTTACCTGATGGTATCCTCAGTCGTGGGATTCTACAGCTCTCCACTCTTCCGGGGCCTGCGGCCCAGATGGCATGACACAGCCATGACACAGATAATTGGGAACTGTGTCTGTCTCCTGGTCCTAAGCTCAGCACTTCCTGTCTTCTCTCGAACTCTGGGGCTCACTTGCTTTGTCCTGCTGGGTGATTTTGGACGCTTCAACTGGCTGGGCAATTTCTACATCGTGTTCCTCTACAATGCAGGATTCACGGGCCTCACCACTCTCTGTCTGGTGAACACCTTCACTGCAGCTGTGCGGGCAGAGCTGATCAGGGCCTTTGGGCTAGACAGACTGCCATTGCCTGTCGCCGGTTTCCCCCGGGCATCTAGGAAGACTCAACACCAGTGACCTCCAGTTGGAGTTGGAAGGGAGAAAACTGGACAGTGCTATCTGCTGCCCAGGCCTGGAGGACCACCTGGGCGGGGTGATGGACCTTAGGACCAGGAAAGGGTTGGTGGTAGAGGGGAGATGAGCCATCTACACTGTTGCATAACATGAGCCAGAGTTTGGGACCAGGCTCCCCCTGCTTTTCCAGATTTAACTCTGAGACTCAGTATGGGGTGGGACTGGGTGACTGGGTCTGCCTCCTGGTCCCAAATCCGTTTACACATCAATCTGCCTCACTGCTTTTCTGGGCCATGCCCATATCCATGTTTACATGATTTGATGTGCAATAGGGTGGGGTGGGGACAGGGGAGGGACTGAAAAGGGGCAGAGTTGGGAGACAGATTGTCTCTACCTCTGGCCCAGAAGAACCTAAGCACTGTGCTATCCTGGAGGGGTTTTGGACCACCGGAGAGACAAGGGCATGGGGAGGAAAGAGCCACAACCATCAGCAATAAAGTTGATCCCAAGGTTTGCTTTGGTTTAAAAAAAAAAAGATATTGTATAAAGGGTTCCATACTATCCGTTGTTTCAGGCATTCACTGGGGGTCTTATCCCCCATGGATAAGGGAGACTACTGTATAATGCATTCACTATGATCTAATCACAAAGAAGATTTTAATGATATTATAAAGTCATATAACAGAGAACTGACACTGGCTTTTAGGATCAATTTTATCATGAGGAAGTGATGATGCTTAAACTAAGATTTGAAGAATATATGGGAGTTAACCAGGTAAAGGGGTGAGAGTAGAATATTCAAGTTAGTAATACCAGGATGCTTCAAGATCCTGTGATGAGAGGAATTAAAATTTGATAAACAGGTATGGCAGGAAAATTGCAAATAATGGAGTATGATAGTGTTCTAAAATGCTGTTGGTGAAGTGAGAAAGGGCTAAACATTAAAGAATCTTATAGATTTATTCAAGTGTTATTTAGGAGAAGAGTTTTGCCTCTGTTTAGGATGTATGTGTCAAAGAGAATGCCTTCTAATAACAAAGCAAAACAGATAATTTACAAAATCATAACTTTTATTGAGTCCAGCAGAGAGATGAGGTCTCAAAGCAACTGGTTGAATGGAATTTGAAACAGTGTCAGGCGTCTCCAAGGAAGAACAGACTACCTGTACTCTTTCATCTTTGGCTGAGCATCGGAAGAAGTGGCTACCAAAACAGCAGATAAAAATAAATTATCTAAAATTGTAAACAATTCTTACATGATAAGGAGTTACATATCAGTTCGTAATAACTGGAGGCACCAGACACAAGGAAAATTTACATTCACCAGCAAGCCACTTCTACTGGTATCCATCAAGCTCTTGAGAAAAAGTGGGGCAAGACAGGAGACCAAAGAGTGTTGTCATTGGTCGCACACTGGTAGGAAACTCTGTACACATCTGTGGACATTTTACTTATAAAAAAACCACAAAATGCATTAACTTATTGGGGAGAAGTGAGGAATTCTCTTGGCCCCAGTAATCGGGCAAAATTCCACTTTTTCTTGGGAAGGTTAAAAGTAAAAGCTATCTGTCTTTAGGAAAAGAACTAAAAACCTTATTTTCTTAGGACCAGGGTCAAAATCTTTTGCTTCAAGGAGAGAAGCAAACATTATCTTCCCTTGGGGGAGATGCAGAAAAATACCCTTTGGCCTAAGGTTATGTGCCAATACAAAGTAGATACTTGCTACACAGGTAGAAAGTAAAAAAAAAAAAGAAATTATCTCCTAAAAAGACTTAAAAAAATTATTTCCTCACCAAGACCCAAGGCAGAAAAAAGGCAGTTTAACTGGCATATGACTAGAGGCAGATGTTAAGTCCCAGGCACACAGAAGATGCCTAAAATTGAGCTAAAGAAGGAGAAACAGGAATTTCTTCTGCCTACCATATAAGGCTGGCACTGAATAAAAACAGCAAAAGTCTACATTTGGGGCTATTTGGGAGCATTGTCAAGTGATATTTCTCTGTGGAACAGAAATCCAATGACTTCTGAAATCTAAGGTACAGTAAGAACATTGGAAAAACTCTTAAAGCTTAAGGTCTCACACGTAGTACAGGTTAACAGCATATCACTATTGGAGGAATTTGAAGTTTTTGATGCACTGAAGGTAAGAGCAGCAAAAATATAACCCCAAATAAACTCTATTCTTGACTAGATTGACTCAACCTCTCATCTCACTAATGACTTAACAAAAGAAAATACAGATCCATTTCTGGACATGAATACTATCCACATCTGGCTCTATTTTTGCTCTATACAACAAATGCAATATTTGATCAAAAAACATTGGACGCTTAAAATTACAATAAAAGAAACATTGTTAAGTTATAACCAATCAACAAAAATACACAGAGGTGAAAAATGTGTTGGAATAATGTGAGAGAAAATTACAATTATAATTTGTATATTAAATGATAAGATGGTGAAGATAAAAACATGCATAAAAAGATGGAACAATTTAGCAAAGTCATGGCATATAATTAAACCATGACGTGAAAATGCTATAAATAAAACTCAATGCTAGAAAAAAGTACTGAACATAGCTGTGGGAAAAAATCCAGTGAATTTGAAGGTATAAAATACAAACTAATTACTGTAAAACACAAAGAGAAAAAATTGAAACAATGGAGGGGCTCTTTAAAATGTTAAGTATAGAAGGTGGGTATCAATATGGTGGTGTAGGAAGACCCTGAACTCACTTCCTGCTACCCACACAACAAATTTGCAGATACATATGGGATAATTTTCGTTTGAAAAAGACTTGAGAACTAGATGAAAGATGTCTCCACAACAAAAGACAAAAGAGATACATTGAGATGGGTAGGAGTGGCAGAGATATGGTCTTCCCTGGGGCCCCACTTTAGATGTGGTGACCCATAATCAAGAAGGACGTATTGAGAAGTGAAAAAGTTGTGCAAGCACTGTAAAAATTAGCCTTTTTAAAAAAATAAAGCTGAGTGAATTTGAAGATCTAATTGGCTTTATTAAGCGATTTGTGAATCACAGAGCACCTTGTCTAGCAACTATTGGGTTGTCAGAAAAGTCATGATGCATTTTTGCAACAAAAAACATAGAAAAAATACACCATGAGTTTTCGGACATTCCAGTAGAAGGGTATTCATATGAATTGTACAAAATGGAAGGTTTTTATAGGCAGAAAGAGAGTGGGATTAAGAAGTAAGGAATGGGTTATTTCAGGCAAAGTCACCTTGCCTTAAGGTTTGGCAGAAAGTCTTATAAAGCAGAGTACCTCACTGGTGTTGATTAGAAAAATTCTAGACTGATTGATTTAAAATTCCAATCCTGAGAGAAGCTGAAACTGCAATTAGGTTAGTTTTGATTTAGTGACATTGTTTAGCAAAAGCGACTCCATTTTATCCTCTTTATTTTTTTAACAAACCTCCAAACATCTGGTTTTGAGAGTCTATGGGGATAAAACCAAGAGATCCATGGAACTGGAGAGAATGGAGCTCCTGCTTTTAAAAAGGGCTCACACATAGACTCTCCCACCTTAGATTCAGTTCAAAAGCAACAGTTTATAAAGCATCTGGATCATAAGTAAAAGATACACACTTATTAATCTTAAAGCAGCTGCCAAAGATGCAGGGAATTGCTGAAACTTTATCCAGGGATGGAAGTACTGGTGAATGATATTTTTGCAATCTCATCTTAACTTCTTGGTGACAGAGCTGACGGGACATTTTTGGTTCCTGCTTTCTAGCCTATTGCCACTGGAGGGCATGTTCTGACCACCCAGTGCCCTAAGCAGTCTAGGAGAGTACCCTGAGCTCCATAACCTCCTTGCAGCAGCCTAGCTGCAAACGGGGGGGAGGGGGTGGACATCCCAATTCCCACCCCCCTTGCACAGTTAGTAAGCTGCAACTATGATGCGTGAGTGCTCCAAGCTTTGCCCTCCCCATGCAACAGCTTGATCATAACTAGGCTAGGAGAGTGCCCCAACCCCCTCAATCCCCATGTAGCAGCCAAGCCTCAACTGGCACAAGTAAACTCCTCAAACACCACTCTACCTTCACAGTGACCATAACCAGGCTGAATGAACATGTGCTACCCCACCCACCCTGCACTGCAGCTGTGGTTCTATCACAGTTGGCAGGTGCATGTAGCCCACATGTGGGACACATGTAGAACACCTGGCTCTGGTGGCCAGAGGAGATTGAACTTCTGGGCTACATAGAACAATTCTTATACAAGACAACTACTTCAAGACTGGGGTAGGTAGATGTTTAACATAATACATGCAGACCAACACAGAGAGACAAGTAAAATGAGGAGATAAAGAAATATGGTCTATACCAAAGAAAAAGGCATTTCCCCAGAAAAAGACCTTAATGAAACAAAAAAAGCAACCTACCTCATAAGGAGTTCAAAGTAATAGTCATAAAGATACTCTGTGAACTCAAGAGAAGAAGGAATGAAAACAGTGAGAACTTCAGTAGATACAAATATAAGAAAGAACCAAACAGAAATTATAAGTGAACTGACAAATATACTACAGGAGTACAGCAGAAAAATGAATGAAATAGAAGTACGAATCAGTGAACTGTAAGGAAAAGTAGTAGAAAACACTCAGACAAAGCAAGAATAAAAAAGACAAAAAATAAATAAGCCAGGTAGAGAAAGAGAAATGCAATATGATTTCACTTGTATGTGTAATAGATAGATAGATAGATAGATATAGATATAGATAGATATAGATATAGATATAGATATAGATAAAAAACAGAAATGAACTCATTGTCATAGAGAACAAACTGATGGTCGCCAAATGGGAGTGGGGTTGGGTGGATGGGCAAATTGGGTGAAAGTGATTAAGAAGTACAAATTGCCAATTATAAAAATAGTCACAAGGATGTAAAGTTCAACATAGGGAACATAATCAATAATACTGCAACAACTATGAAAGGTGCCAAATGAGTTATCAGGGTGCTCATTTCATAAGGTACATAAATGTTCAATCATTATGTTGAACACCTGAAACTAATATAGTATTGTATATCAACTGTAATTGTAAAATAAACTTAAAAAGAAAAAAAATACAGGCCAAAAATAATCAAGAATAAGAAATCAAAGCATCTAAATTAGAAAGAAAGAAGGAAAACTGTCATTTTTTTGCAGATGACAATACTATATATAGAAAACCCTAAAGACTCCACCAAAAAATTATTAGAATGGATGAATTGAGTAAATTTGCAGGCTACAATATTATTGTACAGAAATATGTTGCATTTCTAAGAGAAATTAATAAAACAATTCCATTTATTCTTGCATTAAAAATAATAACATACCTAGTACTAAATTTAAGGAGGTGAAAGACCTGTACTCTAAAAACAATAAGACATTGATTAATGAAATGGAAAAAATATAAACAAATGGAAAGATATACTGTACTCATAAATTGGAAAAAATAATATTATTAAAATGCCCAGACTACCCTAATCAATTTATAGATTCAATGCAATCCTTATGAA